GTATAGGTTTCGTGGTGGTTGCTGCAAAAAATCAGTCGGGCTTTGTCGACTCGGAAGTAAGATATTGTTAACCTGCTCGATAATCTACAGATTGCATTCGCTCTCTGAAGACTGGAATTCATATACCTTTCAAATTCAATACATTGCTTAAACACAATCCGACTCTTCCTTTTATTGTGAACAAAGTACAGTGTTGTGTTTGGTATCGATGTCAATTGGCGTAGTACATATGTCTCTAACCCTCGTTGGGCGGTGGGGTAGCCTAGTGGTTAAAGCGTTCGCTCGTCACGCCGAAGACCCGGGTTCGAATCCCCACATGGGTACATTGTGTGAAGCTCATTTCTGGTGTCCCCCGCTGTGATATTGCTGGAATATTGCTAAAAGCGGCGTAAAACCAAACTCACTCACTCACTCTAACCCTCATTGTTTTTTAGCCTCGCAGTGATGCGGACTTAAGGATAAAGCATCGATATTTCTTAAGGTCTTTCAACCAGTATATCTTATCTTGGTTGAAATCCACAAAGGCTTGTAAAATGTCCCCAGAAATGGCAACAGTACGTTTTATAAAAGTCCATGTTTCCGGGTTTAAAACATAATAGGCATGCTTCTTTCCGCGTCTTCTTTTTCTGGTAGTGTACTGTTGTAACACCGCCAGTCTTGGTGATGGATTTGACATGAGTTCTGGGTGACGACTTAACTGCTTTCTCTGTCGTCTTGGTTTGTGTGATTCGAACTGGCGAGGGTGTATTTGTAACGGATTGTTCTAGGTCCTTCATCGAGGGTGTCCCGGGATTCAGAGTTGGCCTAACTGAGACTGATGTGTGTGGTATTCTCACCGGTTATCCTCCATCAGCTTTCGAAGGGAACTGGGCCTGTTTGGTTTGGTTTGGTGAGGTGAGGTGAGGTGAGGTGAAATTGGGTTTAACGTCGTGCTTGAGAATATTCGGTCATATGACGACGTGCATGCGTGTGTATGTGTATGTGCGGCTGCTTGTACAAGCCCAGACTGAAGCTGGTTTTATAGTGCTAGCCCAATGAGATACCATGCCGCAGTGAAGCATGAATACCCCACTCAGACACATTATACTGACTCCGAGCCGACCAGTCCTTGTTGTACCCATTAATGCCGAGCGCCAGGCAGGGACCAACAGGTACCATATTTTAACGTCTTTTGGTATGACGCGGTCGGGGATGAACCCGCGACCTTCCGCTCTCCGGGCGGACGCTCTAACCACTACACCACGGATGCGGTCGGGCCTGTTTGGGTGTGACTGGTGTTACAGATTGCTCATGGCCTTTGCTCGAGGTTTTCATGGGAGACAGTGTTCGCATACCTGTGGCAGATGTGAATTGTATGGTGTTAGATTGTTCCTGGTCCTTGTTGGAGGTTTTCCTCAGGGACAATGATCGCTTACACGTGGCAGGTGTGAATAGTATGGGGATTGATTGCTTTCGGTCGTTGTTTGAGGTTTTGCTAGGAGACAATGTCGGTCAACTAGTGATCGGGGTGGACTGTATACTCGGGTTATCTGGACCCCTATCATAGTTCCCGGCTGAACCAGAAAACATCGTTGTTTGTATGTCTTGTGCCGATGATTCAGATCGTTCACATTTTTCTCGAAAGTATGTTGTGGATTCCGATAATTCAGTTTTATCAAATTGGTATTTCTTCTTGCTTTCCGATGATAATTTTTCAATCTCATCTTGTGGATCTTCCAGCCCTGATTTTAAGTCATGCTGTAGTTGTGTCTCTTGTTCAACACGACTAGATGATGATGATGATGATGATGATGATGATGATGATGATGATAATGATGATAATGTCTTCATTTGTTCCAGACCTCTTTTATCACTGCTTGCCGTTTGGAAAATTGTGCTGGTGAATGCCTCATCTGTTTTATTGACATCTTGAAAAAGTGATTCATCTCTGTCTCCTTGCTCCGCTCTCCTTGAGGACAGTATTTCATCTGTAGTGAATCCACCAGCATCCGATGTCCCGGCCTCATACACCAGGGACTCATCCTGAGTGTGTGCAAATCTGTCATCGAGTAGCGAAGATGGCCTCCTTCTGCCTCTGGCACCAGACTTGATAAGTGTTACATTACAATCATTCCTATCCAGACAGGTTTTTACACATTGTGGCATACTTGTCCAGTACTGGAACTTTCCAGTTGTTGCCAGATAGTATGCATGTAGATGGCCTTGTCCAGTAGGATGAATTCAGACACACTGTCCTATGTCCAAGGGATATTATTATCAATAGGCGAACCGGCTCAATAGCTTCAGTCCCCTGTATCTTAAACGTTCTGGAGCCTTCTCTTGCAGTAACAGCAACGTGCGTGCATGAAACCAGGGCTCGGCTCTGTGGGATTTCACGTCGTGCCATTACAAATATTGATAACGCCAACATTCCAAAGTTTAGTGAACAATAATCAATTTAGAGATAACAAAACTGTGAAATTATTGTCAGTGGTCTAATGTAAGAGCACATATCTATATTTTCTTGAAATGGTGGACAGAAGCAATATGACACGTAAAAGAAATGGAAATTAAATATTAAACATCACGATTACCCAAATTCTGTTACCCGCAGTGGTATCATACCTCCACTGCCCATACATTACTATATAAAGGGCCTTTGCCTTCATTCTTGGTTAATAAGCGTGTTTGCGCACCGTTTTGCCTAAAAAATGAACAAGTTTCAAGTGAAATTTCAGATATTATGCTCACAATGACAACATGTCAATATTCCAGGAGAATGTTTATGGGCAATACATGGAGATATACATTCAAATTAATATCATTTTAACACTATATATATGAAACTAGCGACATCCCGACAATACAGGGTTGCATCCCCTTGTATGACACAAAATGGCGAATGGTTTCTTTACCGAAATCGAAGCAGCTTGTATGTGGAACAAATCGTACGTCAACAATGTGGATCAAACAACAACATCAGCATTGGTATGACAGATTAAAATGGTCGGTGTGACAATTGATTAGTAGTTAACCACTGCGACGACATAGCGTATAATGCGACCTCGGTGGTCAGGTGGTCAGGCTCGCTGGCTTGGTTGAAACATGTCATCGTTTCCGAATTGCGCAGATCGATGTTGATTCTGTTGATCACTGGGTTGTGTGGTCCAGACTCGATTACATACAGACCGCCGCCATATAGCTATAATACTGCTGAGTGCGGCGTAAAACTAAATTCACTCACTCATTATCGTACCAATTCGTACATCGTACATTACATAACCTTGAACATGTATCATCAAACAGGGCACCGTTCCACGAAGCCTCCAGGAGATTACTCTTAGAAGAGTCTCAACTCTACGCTCGTCTTGAGGAACGGAGCCCAGGCCTTAAATGTCCCTTTAGCGTTGCAGAAAATCATGCTATAGAATTGAAGCAAAAAAAATAATAATAAAAAATGAAAAATAAAAAAAATAATGACGATATGTTTGTTGTGACATCACTTCACTTTATTCTCAATAGACCACCAATGGTGGTAAACGAGTACATATTACACACATCAATTATAACACAGTCAAAATGGCGGCGGAGTATAACACATTATAATCCAAAAAAAACAGTTGTTGGTATAACATGTCTATTATCTAACTTTTGTTATAGTAGAAAAGATAACATTTACGAACTTTGCTAGGGTTTTTAAAACAGTATGATCTAAAGTAGTAAACGGGATTTTATAAGATACAATGTTTGAGTGTTTGAGCAATTTGGTTGGTATGAATTTTCTTCTAGATTCCTGAAAAGCAGGACAGCGAAATATATAATGGAACTCGTCTGCAATTGCTGGCGAGTAACATAATTTACAAGTTCTATTTTCTCTTGGAGTATTATTCCAACGCCCGGTCTCAATGATTAGATGTTCTGAATTTTAATAGTGGATAATAAATGTATTTGGGCAATAAGAGAAAGGCATTAAGTGATGGTAGGGTCTTAATGTATTATAGTATTGTTTCTTAGGACTTATTTCTATGGTATTCCTGACAACTGGAAAATTGTCCATATCACTCATTACAATAAGCAGACATAAATTGTAAATATTATATACAGCAAAGATATAAATAGTTGCGGCATCTAAAACTACATTTCAAGAAGACAATTATATGTTCGGGCAACTTGGCCCATTTACATCTTGTCTATCATAAAGGTTTCTTAAGATTCTAAAATTTTATAAAGTAGCAAAGCTGCCATACGCTTTAATATAAGCAAAAATGACATTCTGAACTTCATGGCGAACGATATTCCTTGATGTCCAACATTTATACAGAATGCAAAAGTAAATTGTTATAAAATAACACATGATAACTCAAACATTGTTGAAACACTCAACACTCAATTTATATATACACGAGTGGCCAGCAACTTTATACAGAAACACTGAGCTGATAGCAATACATGAGGAAAATGCTTGTTTATCAACGATATTTCTTCTAGAATTCATTATGAATTAAATATCAGTTGGCTTTCTTTCGCAACATTTCATTGAATGTATGATCTTTTCAGATGTGATGAGTTTTGAAAAATCAATCAATAAGAAGGTATGTTTCAATACTGCATCTCGGATGCCTTTACAGTTGGGGTCTGTCTGCCAATATGTCATAGCAAGTCACATGCAGAAATGACAAATACTACTACTTGTCTTTAGTTGCAGTCAGTAGCTAATATCAAAACGGTGAACCTAGTATTATTATTTTATTTTATGACACACTGATCGCAGGAGCACAGATCCAGACAAGGTAATATAACGGTGCAAGATACAATACCCATACCACCCTTAGAATAATACAGTCACCACAAAACTCTATAATCCTTGCTAAACGTTTGATGTATATTTTCAGCAGCTGAGTCTTATCTGATTTAGACAGATAGCTGCATGTATACTAACATGTGACTCAAAAACAGACATGTCGAAGGTAACGATTACACATCAAGCTTAAAAATATCTGTTGTGACAGCATGTAAAGAAACATACACCTTCACAATAACATTGTTTGAGACTATGTCCCGATGGGAGGATTATATGACAGATTTGGCCATGGTCCAAGGTCATCGAGATTTCCTACCGGAGATTATACACCTTCACAATAACATTGTTTGAGACTATGTCCCTATGGGAGGATTATATGACAGATTTGGCCATGGTCCAAGGTCATCGAGATTTCCTACCGGAGATCATACACCATCACAATAAAATCAGAATCGGAGATCAGAATATTTTACTCCCAATTCTGGATGTCGTCTTGTGAACTGCAAATCATTGTCAAAAATACGTTTGTGGAATATCAACATGTTTACATCATAAGACACTTTAGTGTCTCCTGTCATAAACAAATCATGTTTTATACAAATTGAAGAATTCTGAATGTGATTGAGAATGCCGAGTGTGGACAGACATTAAAAAAAAAGCCGTATGGTAACGCTGTCATATCGTCTACAGCTGTAAACGCTAAACAATTTATGCATTTCTCTGCAAGCAAAAGAGAAGAGCGCTTCGAAATAAACATATGGTATTATATTCCCTTCATTCACCATGCAAATATTAAGATTCACTTGTTTGTATTTTGCAGAGTGAGTGAGTGAGTGGGTGAGTGAGTGAGTGAGTGAGTTTAGTTTAACGCCACACTCAGCAAGATTCCAGCTATATGACGGCGGTCTGTAATTAATCGAGTCTGGACAATCCAGACAATCCAGTGTGGATCAACATCGATCTGCGCAACTGGGAACCGATGACACGTGTCAACCAAGCCAGCGAGCCTTACCACCTGATCCCGTTAGCCGCCTCTTAAGCATGGGTTACTGAAAGCTCGTTCTAACCCGGACCTTCACGGGTGTATTTCGCAGACAATCATGTGCACCGATCCACTGCTCGGTTACGATGACATGTATAAATAAAGTTTGCGGGCCTGGCCACTTGTCCCCATACTCGCCTGTTACGACAAATTTGCTTTCAAATCAAAACACTCTCAAAACACCCGATTTCCACAAAGAAGTAGTTGTTGGGATTGGGGAGGAGGCTACAAATAAAGAACATGCGTCTCTATTATATAATATGTTAAATGTTACAGATGACTGAAACCTTTTCCATAAATTAAGTATAACGGTCACTTAAATATGCTCCAAAGGTCACCTAACTCTCAAATTCAGTAAGCTGTGGATATTGTGGGTATTCTTAGAATAATACTGGAGAAGCCCCATGTAAATGGAAACTGTTGAAATATTGATTTATTTCGGTACGGTCCTCTTTCAGTTTATTTTTCTTTCTCTTTCTGCATATACACACAACCACCCATACACAGATTCCTGTTACCAAAAGTGTCCCGCATGTGATTATGATCACTAAAAGGTTGCTGTCTCGGTCATCCAATTTCGTAGTCGTTGATTCTGAAGATGAAGGACGAAATCAAAACGAGAACACAAAATTCGAAGTAACTACTTCTGAAAGAAGAAGAACGCTTAAGATGGGGGCATATGTTTAGCATCGCACTCGGCAATATTCCAGCAACATGACGGTGACCGTAAAGACTCTAGTCTGGATCCCACAAGTAATAAGTTTAGTAGTATAGGGAATGGGGGTTTTGGACCAAGTCCAACAAAAGCCTCTGCAAAGGCTTATTTCCCAAATAAGGCTTTTGTTCAGGCCGTTAGATCTCACCCCATTACCCCTACTATAAAAAAGTTTGAGACGCCAGCGGGATACGAACTCCACAAGTATACCTCACAGCCGCGCCACTGAGCTACCGGGGACATGGCTGAAGTATGCCGGTTAAAACGGTCTATCCTGGGATAGCGAACTGATCATGTGCCATGTCGTGTTTACAGGATACTATATTGGGATTACTTGGTATTTTGCTTTGGGGGTAACATTGTGCCGTACGGTATGACTAATAATTCCTGTCTAACAAACCCTCTCCCTGGCCCATCTCTCAAGTAGTACAAGTTCGGCTCGTCGGCTTTCAGGTCCACTTTATCTATGTTGTAAGATTTGACTGACCATATAGGATCGGTGGCTCGCTTACGGCTATCACCCTCGTGTTCCCCCGGCTGGTATAGATACCTCACTAGGGCCCTATCTGGTATCTGTTTCTCCTTTCCACGCAATGGAGCAGCCGACTCTGCCACTATTGATTTTAGTTTGATAGCGTCTGCCGGTTTCTTGCCGGTGAGACGGGTGGCTTCATGGTTGATTGCCGACACCACCTTATGTAACCTCGCGGCCCATTCAGTCGATCGCTTCCCCGGGTTGGCCATCTCCCTCGCATACTGATGCCCGAATAAGCGCTCAGCCAAAGTCCTATTGAATCTCTCAACTATGTCTTGGCTGCGATGGGCTCCTGCCGTGCCACGCCTGACCTTTGTATCGTGTTTGTCTAACAGGTGTGACACGACACCCATGAACTCCCGCCCGGGGTCAACTTGCAGCTCTGTTGGCCACGTCAGCGGACTGCGTTTGTATATGCGTTCGAATCCTCTGGCTACCTGGGCTGAATCTTTTGCGGTCAAGAGTTCGCCTTCCTTGTAGCGACTGGCTACGTCCACTATGGTTAAGGCATACTTGTACCTCTTGTCGTGGGGTAGGAATAGGAGGTCAGCCTGGTGAACGCTATTGGGTATGTTAATACCGAATTTCCTTCTAGGCACGTAGCGTGGTGCTGGTAAATAGATCTGCCACAGGGCTTGTTTTTTCAAGCCACGCTTTGGCCTCCTCCGGGGGTACTCGCGCCATTTTAGCCAGCTTATGTACGGCGCTAGCTCCTTTCCAGTACCCACGCGGGCTGTAGTAAATAGCCTCAAACTTTCTCTGGTTCCGTGACATGTCATATATATATCTATGTTCTTGGTTCAATTTTCTCATGCCCGTACGCGTACGTGTTTATCCCCATCAATAGCTATCCAACGTTTAGTGTCCATCGGCGACAGGGACGTCTTGTTTATCGTCAGTCCGTATATCCTATGCCCATCACTTCTAAGCGTGTTCATTTTATGCCTGAAGGTACGGGTCTTGAACAGGGCTTCCTTGAATCTGGCGTGTTTGATGTGTTGTTTCACCACGTACTTCTTAACACCCTTCGCCTTACGGATCTCACCATTGTCGGCCTTCAGGATGGAGTACATCTTAGGCCTCAAACCTATGTACTCGGCTATGGGCGTGCAGCACACTCATCCTTCATCTTACCTAGGACCTTTTTATTTACCGTGCTGTGTATGGCATGGTCCTTGGGGTAGTCGCTGGTGTCATACAAATCGAGGGGTTTCTTCCTGTCCTCGTACACGTCCTCGGTTCGAATCTCCATCAACAGGGAATCCGTGTCAGTGTACAGCACTTCACACCTGTCGTCGTACTGTTTCTTCAGCTCGTTGTAGTAAAAGTCGTACATCAGGTGTTTGGATAAATCAAGGATGCTCATCCCCACGTAAACATGCCGGTTGAATTTTATGTGGCTTTTCTTCATGTGTAGGGCAACTAGGTCATCAGTGAATATTTTGCTACGGTTGAATGCCGGGCTGGCTATCAGTCTCCTGAGCTTGTCTTCCTCATTTGGCCGAACCAGCTTCACGGTCACGCATTTCCTAAGGTTCTCCATAGTCTTACCAAACACCGAGTTGTTCATGAGCTTGTAGAGATTTTTCTCAAAGTCACTGGTGGCCAGCTTTCGGGGGTCTGTGTTCATTCTGATGTAAGGCTCCATCCAGGGGCTCTGGTTGAACACGAGCACCCTGTGTATTTTGGTCAGCCTCATACCCATTGACATGTACAGCTGTAGGTTGCGATAGTGAACGATGTACTTGGTCTTATTCATTAAGTTGGGCACGAGTTTTTCAACGTCTGCCACCCGCCCACCTAACAAGTTATGTTGGTACTCAGACATCCAGTCTGGGTTAACCCTCATACGTTCGGGGGCCAGGGGGTAGCTGTTGTGTGATGTGTGTAATGCCTTGGGGTATTCTAAGTCAACCTCGAGGATATAACCTTTGTTCGAATCTGGTGCGATGCTCATAACATCGGCCTCGTGCGATTCCCATTCGAATCCCCCTGTGGGTAGATACTGGATCATGGCCCAACCGTACAGGTTGTTGGCATTGAGGTAGAGAATGTGATTGGTTGGCTTGCTCGGGTCGTAGCCCTTCACGTATTGATTATTTGCTTTCGCGTATCGTTTGGTTGCCATGGAAATCCCACCTCGCAAGCCTTTCACAATGAATAGGTGCATGTCGTAGTCTGTGAGCAATTCCAACTTAACTTCGATCTTTTTCAGCAAGGCATCCCACGACAGACCTGGGCTGGTGTAATACCATGCGGGGTCGAGTTTATACTGCTTGAAACACGTCCGCCTAAACGTCTCAAACACGTCGGCTAACAGCAGTACATCTGACCGCAAGTACAGGTCGTGATAGTCACCTAGATTCTTACAACCCAGTTTATTCCATACGTTAATAGCGTGTGAGTAATCGTCTTGGGATATTGCCGAGTCTGTAAGATTGCTGTAAAATTCTCTGATGGGGGGTAGTCTGGTCTCGAACTTGGCCCAATTATCCATGTACTCATAGGGGTACACACCCTTCCTCATCAGCAGGGGTCTAGTCTCGGCGTCGGTGTATCGATCGGTGATAGGGAAGGTATCGGTGGCCTTGACCAGACTGTCGAGTGACGACAGTAGGAACTGAACCGAGTCGATGAACCTAAGGCCGTTTAAGCTGAAGGAGATGTATCTCTCCATGTTGTTGGGGATGCACGTTATATTGCCATCGATTTTCGCGATGGCCTGCATGATTAAATGAGAGTCGTACCCTCTCAAGTTGTGAAAGACCACGGGGATGTTTATTATCTTGGGGTTGATTCTAAGCTTGAGGTTGTACGCGCTGTGAGCGGCGCCTCTATACTTACCGATTACGTGGCAGTGATCTCTCACCGAATCGCCGTTCAGTGGTGAGTCACACACGTGGAAATTAGTGCTACAGGCGTGAGCTAGCCGGTCGGCTTTGGTCATACGCATGGGAGCGACTGTATACAGTGCATTCCTAATAATTTTTTCTTCCTCCTGCAAACACTTTAGAAACCTTTCAGCCGTGTCGGGGCCCCTATACACCACCGGAGCTTTCGTTTTCCCATCACATTAGACGACCACGTATCCAAACCCACAGGCTTCATGCTCTTGCTTTTTCTGTGTGAAGCTCTCACCTGTGGGGATACCCCCAGCAGCCTCAACAGGTTTGACCAAGGCTTCAAAGTCGGCGTATATGATATAAGGCACAGACATTTGGTTCTCGTGGTTGCCGAATTTTAAGATATTGTCACCTTCCTTAGGCATGTCAACTCGTATGGCTGTCTGAATAGAGGAGGCAATCGTCTCCTCTATTCTTGACGTTGACCATGGCATGTTTTTTCCTATAGTAGGGGGGCAAGTCTAGGTATGACCCGCCTCTGAACGGCACGTAGTTAGCTATGTCTAGATAGACATTATCGATTTTATCTACGGCCCACCCGGACCCCAAGTGTGTGTAGCGTTCTAGGTATTCTCATATCTGCTGAAAACTAGTATCGATTGATGCGTTTATGGTCTCTGTATGTATGACGATTTCTTGTTTACCTCGGAAGTAAGGCTGAACGTACTCAGTGACCCCATTCTCCGCCTGCTTATCGAGTGACATTTTCACTGTGATCTGAAATTTGATACTTCCCAGATCGTTTAGTTCCTGGTTGACTTTATCAGCTATCAGAGGCTTGATATCTGTGATGTCTATATTCCTATCAACATGCATGCGCCAGCCTCTCAAATAATTGCCTACAGCGCGCTCAGTGTGCATTAACTGTAGGTCAATAGCTCTATTCTGCCGTAATAGTTCTACAAGCTGTGGTTTCCTCATACGGGAATATCCGCCTAAACCCAAATTGCGTGCCTGAACTTTTAGTTGTTTTACAGTGGGAGGTTTTGCTACGGGGTCATGTGATAACAATGCGACTAAGCCGGCTCTCCCCAGGTTTGAATAACCGTGAGCCCAAGCTGTTTTGCTTGGACTTTTAATTGTTTTACCCTAGGAGGGACTTGCAGGCCTAGTAGCCACAACAAGGCTGGCTTGGTCATTCGAGAATAACTGATCACCCCTCTCTGTCTCGCGATCTGCTTGAGCTCACGGATAGTAGTCATAGTTGCATACACACCTAAGAATATCAATCTCTAATTGGACCACCGTAAAGGTAAAAAATAGTGAGGCACCTCTATACTTAGTTGGGCCGTTTCAATCCAGTACTTACACTGTTGGATATAGTATTCTTTGAAGTTGTACAGGTATTCCTGTATACTTGTAAAACAATTTATTTGGTATTGAGTCGGGATGTCCCGCCCACATGTGAAGGGGTGAGTATACTTAACACCCTCCTTAAT